CCTGAGCTGTTGCGCGCCCCGCGGTGCCGGCTCGTCGTGCTTGCCATCGAAGTCGCTGGACGTTGGAGCGCCGAGGCCGTCCAGTTCGTGCGACTCCTTGCCCGCACCCGAGCCCGGTCCGCACCTCCCCACCTCCGTGCCAGCAGCCCTGCAGCGTGGGTGCAGCGATGGTCTGGGTTTCTCGCCTTTGCAGCTGCCAGGTCCTTTGCAGCCTCGCTGTTGTCATTGCCCCTCCACGGCGCAGCCAACGTCGATGGCTCGCCTCCTGAACTCAGTGACGTTCTCGCCGAGCACCGTCTCGACGGCCCGCCACATCCCAGTCGCCTGCCTGCACGGTGATGCGCATCGCAGCGTCGCTGCACACCCGTTCTCGTCCTCGTAGCTTGCAATGTGCACAGGGACCGGACCGTTGCTTTCGTGCTGTTGCAAAAATAACCTGATTTCTTTAGCGTTCAGGTGGGTCTCACGCATACTCAGTATGACATGCATGCATGCATTTTGCATGCGGTGCCGTTAGAGCTCTATAAACTTCGGCATATCATAGTTACATGTGAAATCATTCCGGATGCTTGGCCTGAGCGCACGAGTCGCTTACTCACTAGGTCATGGGGGGCAAAAGTGTTCGTCCTGGCGGAGTCGCAGCAGGCCAGTTGCGAAAAGGTTTAAGCCTCTGGGTTTGTGACAAAAAGTCTTCTGGGCTCAGGGTTTCCGGGTTTAGGCCGGGCATTGAAAGAATCTGGGTTTATGGGTTCAAGGTTTTCGGGTTTTCATTAGGGTTTTTTTGGTTAGGCCTGTGTGGCTTTGGGATTTTTGGGTTTAGCGTTTTTGGAAGACGGGTTTCCGGGGCTTTAGCTTTTAGGGGTTGAAAGTTTCTGGGTTCAGGCTTGTTGATTTGGTCTTACGAGTTTAATTTTTTTGGTTTATAGTGTTTTTGGGTTCAGGGTTTCTGGGTTTACAAATCCTGATGCAAAAACGGGTTTGGGTTTCTGGGTTTAAGGTTTCTGTTTTAAGTTTTGTGGGTTTAGGGTTTGTGGGTTTCTGGGTTCAGGGTTACTGGGCGTAGGGTTTAGGGTACAGAAAAAACGTACATGTGCATAAACGTATACATGTGCATATACACTAACATATACAAATGCACACACGGATACAGGATGATACGATATGGTGCACTTACATACATTCATATACATACACATCTGTGTACACATACGTATAGACCTACAGTTATGTACATAACAAAAATCACATACGTATACACGTGCATATGCAACCTTATACATGCACATATACGTACACGACATAGACATCTACATATACATGCACGATGCATGTACCCATACACACATACAAACATTTATATGTACATATGCAGAAACGCATACACATACACATACACATACACATACACATACACATGCATATACATATATTGTATGCATGTACAGATTTCATTTCGATTTACATAAACACATACGTATGTTTGTATATAAGTTTCCACTTATTTGTACTTGATACTTGTTTTCGTTTCCACGCTTTTACGTATGCTTGTCTCTACACTTATACTTACACGTATACTTTGTTCTTACATTTATACATATGCTCATAGTTAAAAGTAGACATATGCTTGTTTTTGTATTTGTGCTTTTGGTGTGCTTTTGCTTATGTTTTGAATTATATTTATATATAAAGTACAGTTGTCGATACGTGAACGGGACTTATACATACACATACACCTAAACATATACATATACGTGTATATCTACATATACATCTGCATATGCATATACACATGCATATACAAATACAAATACAAATACAAATACAAATACAAATACAAATACAAATACAAATACAAATACAAATACATACGCACATACATATAATAATGCGGGTCAGAATTTGCGGGACAGACATCTCCACGGAGGTCTGCTCTTCACGAAATGGACCGACATGCTTTTGCCATGCCTCAGTGAGCCGTTTGTTTGCGAACGAAGCTTTTCGGTTCCGTGCCATGTGCCGAAGGGACTGTTTGTGCAGTAGACATATCAGCAGTCGATTCATGCCATGGTTGTGAATTGTTAGTCAATCCTGAAGCTTCCCTGTGTATGTAGGACGCGAAGTGATGCGACAGACCACCCTTGCGTCGGCAGATTGCCCAGCAGTACACGTATCCCAGTTGTCGTTTCACGAATCTTCACGATACCGGACAAAACATGCCTTCCTGTTGGAACCATGCCTTCGCCACATTAATTGCCCGCAAGCTGGTGGTTGACATCAATGCCCTCATTGGGGCTTGTGCCCGCTCTGTGGCCATGCAACGTGCCGTGGATATCGTCGCGGCTATGCAAGCAGGCAGTGTGCAACCAACGCTAGTAACATATAACACGCTACTTCATGCGTATGATCGCATGCGTCTGGCGAGCAAGGCATTTGAGACTTTAGAGGCGATGCAAGCGAACCGCGTCGAACCCGACGTGTTGTCTTTCACTTCACTCGTTAGTGTGTGTGGCAGAACCAGACAAGCAGATCGGGCACGACGCGTTTTGTCAACGATGCAGGCTTCGGGTGTGGAGCCAAACTTGTTTACTTACAGTGCTTTGATGGCTGCGTATGAAAGATCTGGCGCAATCGATCTTGCTCGAAACATGTTGGAAGAGATGAAGGAGGCAATATTGGAGCCCGACGTTGTTTGTTACAATTCTGCTGTACGTGCCTGTGCGCGGTTGGGCCGAGTTCAAGATTCGTGTGATATCATCGAGGCGATGTGCAGTCAGTCAGTACAGCCCAACGCTATAACTTACAACTCGCTTTTCAGTGGATATGAAACAGGGGGGAGCATTGAGGAAGCATTGCAAACCTTGGTTGCCATGCGACAGCAGCTGGTTCTGCCCAATATGATCACGTACAGCACCTTGATAAATGCATGTGAGAAGACATCGCATGCAGACAAGGCGTTGACGTTGTTCAGAGAATTGCAGGAAAAAGGTTGGGTGCCGAACCTTGTCGTTTATACAGCAGTTATCCGAGCATACGAAAAGCTGGGCCAACCGGCTAAAGCTTTGCAGTGCTATAAGGACCTGAGGTTTCAAAGCATTCGGCCTGATATGGTTATTTGTAATGCTTTGGTGAGTGCTTGTAGCAACTGCGCAAAATGGCAGCAGTCACTGTGGTCATACAGGAGCATGCGCCAAGAAATGCTTTCGCCGGACGGTTATACGTTCAACACATTGGTTAGCACGTTTTGCAATATGGGTGATGTCGTTCGTGCTGAAACGTGTTGCAACGAAATGGCGAAGTCCAGAATTCGGCCTGACACGATCACCTACGATTCTTTGTGTCATATGTTTGGACAAGTAGCCAGCCATGTTCGTGTTATCGAGCTGATTGCACGAACTGGCACGACTGGATTATGGCATTTGTTGTCCATGAAGACGCATGCTCGCAACAGTTCGTTGGTGCCACCTACTTCGGCGGTGTGAGCTGCATGCGAGTGGTTGTGATCTATGGTGATATTGAACATCGGGCCTCGACCTCTCTTACTTCAAGGTGTTCGTGCCCCATGGTGGTGAGATGCAGGCAGCATGGCCAATGCGTGATCTGGAACCGTGGCTAGCTGCTAGCTGTTTCTCCGGGGCGTCCAGCGACTACATGCATCCCACATGCGCTTCAATCGTGCTGCCGCTGAAGTACATACGGTTTATGGTTCGCTCTTCTGTGGCCGAGCAGTAAAAGAGACTCGAAGTTCGACACCCTAGCACCTTTGACTGTACACGTGAGTTGATCCATCCGGGTATTTTCTGGCTCAAGACATGCACTCACGCAACAAGTTATTCGACTAGTGAAACCAGGGACCGCCATGCTCTCTCACATGCGGTCCTCCTTCCTTGTGCTTCTATTGCTGTTTGGCTCCTCCTGGAGTGAGCCCAACCCGGCATCTTCAAGGCTGGCATTGTTTTGTTTTAATGCTGCACTAATGCCACAACGCTGATGCGCACGGGGACCCTCTTATGTCACAAGCTGGAAGTTATTTTTCTGTGCGATAACCTGTCTGCGATGTGGAAGCTGTTGTGGTGACATGGCAGAGCATATGCAGGATGTGTTCAGAGAAAGACGGCAAGTCAACGAAGTCCGTGCTGCTGGTCCAGATGGCGAGCCTACGCTTGCAAAATGTGCAACACTGCAACACAATCTTAAAGTTCTCGCGTGGGCTGATTCGGCCTCTGCCTGAATCACCACCTTGCGCGAGCACCGGCAAGGACAAACTGCATCTTTGATTTGGGCGTGTTGTCTGCATGTGCTAAGGATTGCCCCGCTGCGATCGAAGATGAACAGCACAGCACAGACAGAGGTCTGCAAGTGTTTCTTGTGTATGGGTTTCCTCTCACGTACGTTTCACCTCAATGTGTGGTCCAGGAGAATCAGAGTCAACACCACGAGCTTCTTTCTGCCACGCGCTCGAAGGCGTGGCTCTTAGGAACGTCACAGCTTTGCAAATCCTCTTGGGGTCCTTGTCTCAAGCCTCAGGAAAGCTTGGTACAGGAGTTCTCCGGACGACTGGCCACAGCGCTTGGGGTCACCGATATCATCAGCGTGTGTGTTCTTGTGCTGGTCTTCCTCCTGGCACTCTACTTCGTTTGGGGTGGCAGCTGGAACAAGCCGCCTCGCAGATTAATGCAGAGCTTTGTTGTGTATTCAACACGAGCGTGGGTCAAGAACATGTCCACTAATTACTGGGTAAGGATGCTACTATTCGCGTGAGCCGTGTTGCCTCACATCCTGTTTCCGTGTGTCCAGAATCAAGTCAATCTCAGGGAACCTCAACAGAGGGCCACTTTGACATTCTTGTAGCTCCCTCTGATCGGAGCGCCAGGTGCATGTTCATTATGCGGTGTGCTTGACAGTTTAGCCCCTGCATCCGGCCCCGATTCACCTTTGATCCCGCATGATGTCGTAATCGCAGAAGGGCTGGCGAAATATGCCTGGCCAGTTTCCAAGCCGTTTTAAAGGCAACTCGAAGGCGAGTCCAGTTGGCGCCAGACAGCTGAAAATGCGTGCAATGTGGCTATGTGTGTTTGAGCCAAGGTTGGAAGAGAATCCATATGGCGAGCTGAAGAACACTGGCATGCGTGCCAGTCGAGAAGCCAAAGACAAATTCAATCAGTGGCAAGCAGCACAGGAGCACGGTTCCCCAATGGGTGCCTACAGCCCTTCACAGGTGACATGGTTGCACGAATTTGCTGACTTAAACCCTTTTTGAAACAAGTCAACCTAGAAGGTGTTCCTCTTCTGCTGCTGTTACCAGGCGTCAAGTGAGGCTTTCCCAACATCTCCAGCTGATGGATCGCGCAGACAACAGATGAGCTGCTGCTGACATTGAAGACACGTCCCAGATGCGGTGCAGCAGGAAACAGTTGCCACTTCACGTTGTTGCCTGCGTTGTAGCTGCACTGTGCTGTTCTTTTCGTGCCGCACGGAAGATCGCCTCGTGTGGTCTGCACATGTGGCAGCTTTTGTGGGATTCGGGAGATAGTTCCCGTGTGAAGCGTCCGGGTTTGCAGCTGCGGCCCCAGGTTGTGACGCAGCGCCGCTTTAGAAGTATCTGCTGCATCGGCACCTCGAGCGTGTCACAGGAATTTTGACATCAGAACAGATGGCCAGCCTATGGGAATAGGCGGAATAGGAGCATCTTTGTTTGCTTTTGCATGGCTTCGTTTTTTTCTTTGCTTTTGGGCGTTCTGGCTTATGGTCTTTCCAGTACACCGTGTTTTGATTCTGTGGTTCTCTTGGCTTCTTGCCTCTGGGGCTTCGTCGTTTTCTTGGCTTCTTAGCTAATGTGGTTCTTGGCTTGCGGCTTCTTGGTATAAGGGCTTCTTGACGCTTCTTGGCTCTATGGCTTTCAGTCTTTTGTCCGTTCTCCTTTCTTTGCAAACTCTTGGTTGGTCCTTTGGTCGCTTCTTGGAACTCCTGGGTTCGCTGTGCGTAAGTTCGCAAAAAGCTCGTGCGGATTTGACAAGAAATACATTAATAGTTGTATCATGCCCCAAAAAACGTCATGATATTTTAGGGTGCCTTGATATCGCATAATCGGGCCCCTGAGCACGCGAAAGGTTTTTTGGAAACCTAAATGCAGAGTTTCTTGTTATGTTGGTTTCCTTCCTCGCAGTTTGAAGTCTCCTTTTATCTTACGCCGACTCTTTCGTTGAAATAAGCTTCTGCTTCTTGCTTTCAGCTCTTACTTTCCTCTCCTTTCCTTTCTTCTGCTGCTTTTGCACTTTTCGCTTCTTTGCTTGATGTTCTTTCCGCTTAGTTCGCCTTATCAAATATTGTATTTTATTATTTTTTGGCTTCTGCTGTCTGCTTTCTGTTGTTTTGGCTTCTGCTACTTTGCTTCTTGCTTGAGACTTTCCTCCCTCAAACTGCTTGGCTTGATTGATTTCTTTTCCTTACTGCTTTGTTCTTTCCGCTTAATGGCTGAGTGCCTTCTGCTGTGCATGCTTAAGAAATGCGTCTAACAACATCGCGTAGTGGGGAGAGGGTTTGTATCGTGATCAACTGCTGTCGCCTATTGACAGGCGATTTTAAGAAATATGATCAACAGCCATCGCCTAATGACGGGACGGTCAAGAAATGTCATCAAGCACCACCGCCGAATGAGGGAATGAGAATATGCAAAATTTAAAAGTGCTAATTCGCACGACAACAAACAGAAAAACAAAGAACATCGCCACAACCAAAATCCGGAAGATCGCCAAGTGATTTTGGATGTTTTTGGGGACACTATGACCGTCGGCGGCTTGTGTTTCGCAACACGACATGAGGTGTGGGCATGGACGAATGGAGCTTGAAAAAGCGGCAAGAGGAGCAACGTGTGCATCGAGCTGCAGATTGTTGTTGCACGCCATTGTTCACCGGAAATGCAAGGACAAAATCTGTGCTTTGGGATTAAATAGTCCCGGAGTAGCATCCTCAGAACAACAGCTGCCGCCGCATGCATCGCATGAACTCATTCCTGGGTGCCTGTAAGGCACAGAAAATCAAAGCCATCAACAGCCGACGGGCCGAACTTCTGCGTGAGCAGAAGGCGTGCAGTGGCAGAGATCTTTGTCATTGATGAACGATGGCTTCCGACTTGACTCAAAGGCCCTGGCCAGAGGACTGAGGCGATCAGTGGGCGAGGAACATCTTTGTGATTGGTGTTGGGGGTCTCAAACCCGACATGAGCAATGATGCTGTGGCACGCTGTCTGTTTTCAGGACATCGTCGTGCAGCTGGGCTCTCGAGGGAACTGGAGAAACGTTTCGTCAGCTCTAGGACCTGTTATTCATCGCAAGGCGAAGCAACGTGAAAGCGCAGCAGGTTGCTGTCAAGAAGCCTCCAGCTCAGCATCCAGACATGCAGGAGCCTTGCTGCACTCAAGCTGCTGTGGAGCCGTGACAAGGTCCCGACAGATGTTCGGGTCTATGCGATGGGCCAAGTCCGGGGGCTGCCGCGAGCATTCCTTGTGTCAAGCCGCTGCTGCCGAGGGATTCCCACCGAAAGCCCATACCCAGCGAGGAGGCTTCAGAAGGGCAGGGTGCCGAGTGGCATGTGTGAGATGGACGGAAGAATCACACAAAGAATTGATGTCGAGCTCACACAGTGACAGACGGCATGCTTGTAAGATTTGCCAACGAGTTAGTCCCGTGGGGATGCTCAGGTTCCCAGCAGTTTGGACTTGACAGATCCTGCACCTGCTGTAGGTATGGTTAGGTGAAACTTGGCCCTTGGCACTCGGTTTCGAAGCAGATGCTTTTATTCTGCAGGACGAACGACGGAACATGGAACACTCCACGAAGCACGGAGCAAGGACCAGGCCAGGGATGAAAGGCTCAACACATCAAACAAGCAAGGCAAGCAATGGGGTATGCAAACAGGGGCTGCGTAAGGAGGGAGAGGAGGGCAAGGGCACGCCCAACAAGACACAGACACGGGCAAGAATCATCGCAAGCACACAGTCCAAAATGGTAACAGCAACTCTCCGGAGAACAAATAGCCAGCTATGAAAGAAGTGGCGGCTATCACAGTAACCACAGGGACAAAAAATTGGAGGAAGTGGTGTCCATGACGGCGACCGCTGCAAGACAAAGAGTAAGAAAACAACCACACTGTAACCACGGTCAGACTATCAACAAGGCTCTGAAACACACAAGAGCAAGAATACCGACACGACCAACCGCTGTAATGCCACAAGTACTCTTACTAATGTACTGATGACCAACGAATGAATCCCTCCGGCATCAGCGGATTTATCAAAGCCTCAACCCGAGCCTTTCCCGTCAAAAGCACTGAGACGGGGCGGGAGAGGCGAGGGGTACCTTAAGCCACGTGGATTTCAAGTTCTTTTCCTTGTTGGCGGAGGGGGGTCTACCCAAGTGCTTTTCTGATCTTCTGTCGGATTCATCAAACCTCGCCAGCTTGTTCGGCTTCGGCTGTCCTGTCGGGTTGCCCAACGCGCCTGAAGTCTCAGCACCTGCAATTTTTACTGCGAGCCAACTCTTGTTTGTGGGTTGAAGCAACTCTAAACCCAAAAACCTGAAACCCACCTGAACCCCGTAACCGAAAACCCAGAAATGCTAAAGTCAGAAACCCTGACCGCGGAAACCCTAAACCAGCCGTGAACCCCTGAAACCAGAAGCCCTCAACCCCCAAAGCCAGAAACATCCAGAAACCCTGAACTCAGAAACTCGAAACCCAGAACCGGGGTTCAAGGGTTCCATGTTCTGGGTTTGTGGGTTCAGCATCTCTGGGTCAGGGTTTCTGGGTGGCCTTCTGAGTTTAGGGTTTTAGGATTTCTGAGTTTCTGGGTTTAGGGTTTCAGGAGTTTTGGGTTTAGGGTTTCTGGGTTCAGGGTTTCTGGGTTTAGGTGTCCGGCAGTGGCAGTCGCAATAGGCCAGAGTGCAAAGGGTTTCTGGGTTTCAGGGGTTCTGGGTTCAAGGGTTCTGGAGTTTTGGGTTTAGACTTTGGGTTTCTGCCTTGGTGCGTTGCAGTCCCTGCTCAAGACAGGGTTTCTGGTTTCTGGGGTTAGGGTTTCTGGGTCTCTACATTCCCCCAAATGCACTTCAAACGGACTCTGAAACACCAAATGCTTCACTCGCATCCCAGACGCATCCCAAATGCACGCAAAACGCAATTTCCAGATGCCCCTAACGCATCCAAAACGCGATTGAAACGCACAAAATACAGCATTTCCAAAGTTACTGTAGTAGGCGACAGGTTTTCACAATGCTATATTTTCTGTGTTAATATTTCGTTTACAATTAGTTTCTGTTCTGTGTTTGAACCCCTGCTGTTTCCAAATATTTTTGTAGACGTAAGACTTTTCCAACCGCGCGACATGTCCATTCACATCGCCGTAATGCGGGGCGCTTGGCGACAAAAGTAATCGACGTGAGCAGCCACTTGGAAGCCAGCGCATGCCATCATGAGCTAATTTTCAAACGCTGTTCGGTGTCTGCCCGGACGTAGGTCCCCCCCTAGCTGAGGCATTCCGTTTTCCTAAACCGCCAGGGGTGCGGGCGGTTTTTGGGAGATAGAAGGAGTGATGAAAGTGTGTATTGCTTCCAGCTTGCCCAGCCCCCAACCTTTGCGTGTACAGCCTGGTCTTAGAGGATCATCCCTGCTCATGCCAAGTTGATTTCATGCGCCGGACCCCTAAAACCACTTGGAGGGGGGACCCCCCACCACGGACCCCCCATCTTGTGCGCTTCATGACGTATAAGCATGCGTGCACGTAGGATGCACAGCGATGCGTGTCCATGTTCCAAGAACGCAGGGCACACGGCTAGGGCTGCTGCTGCAACTCAAGTGCCAGCTAGCGGCTTACCATTGTGCTATACACTCGCCTCGATGCCATGACTAAGGTTGACACACACCCTGCAAACAGTGTTGCGGGTGTCGCAAGAGTTGGAATCCTTGCAGAAGGAGGTGGCCGCAACTCGCTCTGGCATCCGAAGCTCCAAATCCAACCAAGCAAGTTTGCTTTTTCAGTTTCCCGCGGTCAAAGCTACTAGTTGCTGCCAGGTTCAGCAGCTAGAAAAGGCCACTTTGAGAGTGAAATGTAGCTTTCCATGCCAACGGTGTACTTTCCCAGCTCGACCTGCACCCTTCCAGAACACTGCGCCAGGCAGAGAAGGCAGAGCAGCAGAAAGGGACGCAGGTTCGCTAGACGACGGCTTGTGGGAAGTCGTGAAGTACGGAGTATTATTGAACATGCGAGAGCCCCGGCCATCCTGTCCAAAAGCTCAAAGTGGCCAGGTCAAGGTCAACTCGCTGAATGATTGGTTTGGTAGGCACGAAGCCTCCGTGCAGTTTGTGCAGCCACGGGCCATCAATCCCCTGAATTTGCAAGGTATGGTGAGCCGAAGCGTCAGTCACAACCTGTCGAAATGGTTGGGTTCTTGGTTCTTCGCGAAGCTTGTCTAAGATCAACTCTGATCGCTCTAATGTGGTCCATGTCCTAGGCGCGCTCCTGCATTATGAAGCCTCGGAGACTCCCCTTCCTGGGTGCGCGCCTCTGGTCCTTCGAGCTCTGATCTATGTCGAGAACAACACTAGGCAGAATGCTTGTCAGAGAGTCGCATCAGCTGCGCGAGGTACGTCGAACGCCGTAACCTTGCGCAAGGGGCATCTCATCAAGTGAAGTTGTCGATGAGTTGTTTAGGAAGGCGAAGCTTTAGTGAACTCATACGAGATTCCTCGAGGGTGTTAAAGGCACCGGCTGTCCACTCCTGAGAACGTGGCCTTCCAAATCTGGAGGTGCGAGGAGTGCATACAATCATACAGTGAGCTCCGAGGGAAAGATCTTCGCACTTCAAGTTGCGAGAGCGGCAAGGGCATGTGGACTGCATGCTCAGCAGAGTCCCTTTTCTCAAAGGAAAAACCAGAGGCACACTGAAATATACACTTGATTTTCATGTCATGTAGCAGTTACCAGACATGCGCAATAAAACGGTCATGAAACATGCTGTAATGCATCATTATCAGCGAGTCCAGACCAGAAGATGCTAAAAGCACAACTCATCGAGCACCTCACTGCAGGGTTTCCGCTGCTGCAAAGCGCTGCCAAAGCTCACTGCCATGGAGTACGACTGCTGGGAGGGCGAGCATGTTTTGGGGAAGTGGCCTTCAAGGTGCCGCAAACTGGCCGGGAAGCTGGTTCTGACAGCCACAAGGTGCGGCGGATGTTGCATTTTATATATATATATATATATGTATATTATGTGTTATATATATATGTATATATATATATATATATATATCATTCTTGGAGAAGCTGGGGTGTTGCCGTCAAAGGGGGTCAATATGACCTGTAGATGCATCACGAGCTGGGCGCTGTGACAGGGTGTAGAGTCGGGGGGAGGTGCTCTTGGTGCTTGGGGCCTGGCACCAGGCTGGTCCATGTGCCGGACCTCCACGACGAACAGAACGGACGATTGCACTCAAGCGACGTCACATTTTGGTTTGGCTGTGCTTGTCTTGAGCCGGTACAGGAAAGCTTGACACTGACTCATTGTCTGACCGAGGAAACCCGCTCGAGATTCAGCTCACAGGAGCCAGGAGTGTAAAGCTCGAGATCTCCAAGAAGCGTCCTGGTTTTGATGAGGCCTTGGTGCGCCTATCCAACCTACCTACTCCGCCAGGAAAGCTGGTGATTGAGTTTACTTGTCCCGAAAACAAGTGGGCGCATTTGAGCGAGCTTTCGGAATGGATGAGGGCCCGTGAGGAGGAAGCCAAACGTTTGGAGGATGAGCAGCGGCAAGAAGCAGAAACACTCGGGGAGCAATTGCGCTCCGTTTGGGCTTCTCCGGATTTGCGCCAGCAGTACCAGTACTTGGTGAAGCAAGCTGGGATCCTTACGTCCTCAGAATTCTTGAAGCAGCATGCGCAGGAGATATCGCTTCTGAAGCCACTGCCAGAAGCACCAGTGGTTGATCTGGCTCCACTGCGTGTGGTCGCTGCTGCACACAAGTCTGACCGGACGGTCAGTCAAGAAGACCGCGTGGCGATTTTCAAAGAGCTTCCTGCACTGTGTCAGCTGCACTCTGCAACGGTGCCTTCGATGATGACAGAAGCAGAATTCTGGGAACGCTGCCTTAAAAGTCGTTATTACTTGCTCGCTGCTGGGAAGGATGTGCCGGCTTCACATCCTGAGGATAGGTTGTTTGACTCGCTCACCAGCCCTGAGACTTCCCAACCTGTGCCGTCTGTTCAAACCATGCTGTCGCACCTGGAAGCAGATTTGACGGGCGAATTTGAAGCTGACAAGCCGTCAAAGAAGCGTCGGACCACAGCTACTCTCATCAGTCGCCTAAACGAGCGAAGTGCCGGTGCTACGGCAATGGAAGGAGGCCCCAGATCAGGACCAGAGAGTGGAGATGTGGACAGAGACCTCCGACAAGCAGTGGAGAAGCGACGCTCCGAGCTGCGGCAAGTAACAAAAACCTTTCAGGAGGATCTTGCAGCGACAGCAGCAGCACCGCAACCTCCACGGTTGCAGTTGAAGGCAGGGGCAGGCGCTCTGTCTGCAATGTCAAGCCTTCCTGAGAAGGACCGTGTGGATGTGACGGCTCAAGACAGCGAAGCAAGCAAAGCAACACCGACAACCTGGCCTTCCAAGTGCAGCGCGAGATGTTCAGAAGCTGGCACTCGTTGGGTTCTCAAGCACTCGACTGACGAGCTTCTAGCCGCTGAGCGGCTGCTCCCGGGAAGCAGTGGGGATACCCACGTGGTCACGCCGGAGCCAGTGACCAGGGCAGTGACATTGCTGCGCCACTTTTGGTCGAGTCGTGTCACCGAGAAGGGCATGCGGGCGAAGCTGGCAGGGGAAGCCCATAATGTGCTGAATATGTTGACGGAAATCGGCACAGGGGCCGGCGTTGCAGGCAGGCACAAGGCTGCCATGGCAAGGTCAGTCATTCCAGCATTGCAGGCAGCACTGGACCTACATGCCTCGACTTCTGGAGCAGCGGGTGCCCCAAAATTGGGTGGAGCGCATGTTGTTGATTTCAGGCATGCTGTGTCGAACAAGTCTCCACGTGTCGGTTTCCATTGCTGCACTTGCAGCATGTTGCCCGTCGCCATGGCTCTAGTGCATATGTCCATGTCCCGAAACTCAGCACCATGTCCGCCAAACTAGAGAAATAGAAGCAACACTAGCTGTCAGGTTGATAGAAGAACATGAGATCGCGAAACTTCCAATCAACTTTGTCGAGGTTTTCCACCCGAAGCAGATGCAATTTTTAAATCGAGTTGTTATGTCGTGTCGCGTTTTTGTTGGCTTCCTTGCCTTGTGCTCACACTTTGGCTGTCGAGCTGCCATGCCATCAGTCTGAGCGGAGATGAGCGGAGCCCCCGGTCGAGTTGCAAAGGGAGTTCAGTGCAAGGAAATCGACATACTGTCGGACCCGCACGATTCTTGATACAGTCGTAGATCTGACATAGGCGGCTGCAGACTCGCGTAAGACAGGCATCATGCAATGGCACCACAGCACATCAAAACCGGGCCCAGATCAATGAAAGCCTGCGCAAAGTACATCGCTCGGAAACTGAAGACACAACTCTGCCAAGATGGCAGGATGAGAAGCATCCGGCCGGTCATCGTACTAGCATACATCATACTGCCCGCAGAATTTTGCACGTGGTGGCGATCTTTTCCATACTGGCGGTTTCGGCAGAGACACATGCTTCGACCTCACCGGTGGGGGGTTGCACAACTGCTTCTCCTGAACACCAAATCACCAACAAGACACTTGTTTTTTGGACCAATTACTGGTGCGGAGATACGAGCAGCACTTAGGCTCAGACACCTTGAAGACTGCACCAGCCAGAACTTGGCCCTCCAAGTTTGCAGGGAGCTTGCAAGCAAGGCCTTCGCGTAGGAATAGCAGCACTTGCTTGCCGTCACACCGAGTGCTGTCTGCAGCGGCATCTGGTGTCTGGGGTGAGGGTTGTAACGGGAACCGGCACACGACGTAACTGCAAGCACGATTCAGAAACCAACCACGACGAAATAGGAACGAGGGGGACATGCAACAGAAACTCGACGGGACTAGCAACTGCAACCTGCGCAAGCTGTAACGGAAATCCACCGGACAATGAAACCGAGACCGGGTTTTGGGTTGAGCCTTTGAGCTATGGGGTTTACTGCCAGAGCCCTTCGAACTCTACCAAAACAAAGCCATTAAAAGCCCTTATTAAGCCCTTGACAGCCTTTACAGCCCTGAGAAGCCCTTTATAGGCGCTCCTGAAAGCGGTTAGCCCTGATACATTCTTCACTCAAAAACCTAAATTTGATAACTTTTCATCCCCCTTAAACCCTAAACTCTTAGACCAAAACCTTACCTCGCGTCTTCCTGTCCCCTTCCTCTTCCTCTCCTTTTCCGTCTCCTCTTCCTCTGCTCTTCCTCTCCTCCCTAAACCCTAAACCCTCAACCCTAAACCCAGAAATCCACCCCGCTTCAAAACTCTTCGGTTGTAAATTGAAACTGTATCATGGAAAGCTCGACGTTTCCTCTATGCGTACACTCCCCCTCCAAAACCCCCTCTCCCTCATACCCTTATCCGCAACCCACCGTGAACCCTAAACCCTTAAGCGTTTAAAAACCTATGGTATGTTAGGATGTCAGTGTAATCCTACTTAAACCATGGTTTCTTATCGGTTTGGCGGCAAGACTATGGTTTCGATTTGGTAACCAATATTATAAACTCATAAACTACCCTCAACCCAAAGCCCTGAAGTGCGTAGTCAGAAGCGAGTGCAAGGCCTGTGTTGAAGGGCAGTTTCCGTTACAAGCCCCATGGTTCCGGATACGGCTCCCACCTGCAGCCCGGGCCCAGTTTCCACAGCAGCTGGAGCCAGTTCGTGAAAAGGAGCTGCTGTAACAACCCACTGGTTCAAGTTACAACGTTTACTCCTGGTGCTACATGGGAACTGGCTGGTTTTGGTGCTGTGATTGTCTGGTGCGGGCGCTTGTGAGATGTGTGACTCCTGTAAGGCTTCTCCACCGACTGTGCGCAGCTCCAGCGGGATTTCGGGTGCAAGTTGCGAGTGCTCCAAAACAGCAAGTGCCCTTACGGTTAGGCTGTTGTTGGGCAGACAACGCCACTGGAGTGACCTCCCTTCTGTGCCGTGTGTTGCAGGTTTGGGGTTTGCCGACGTACACCTGGTGACCTAGTGCTTGTATGTTCTTGTGCTGCTGTTGCTGGTTACATCTCTCTTTCGCTAGACTTGTGGCCCAAGCAACTCGAGCTGGGTTTAGGGTGCAGAGATGCAGAATTGGGGAGCTCCCGCGTACGGGAAGGGCAAGGCGCAGCCAGTCTACGGAAAGGCCAACCCCGTTCCAGCTCGACCCGCTGGCCCTTACGGAGACCGGGGAAATACTGGCGGTGGCGGCTCTGGCGATTGGGATTCCCCACAATGGGGGAGTCAACAGTTTGCACCTATGGCTGCGATGATGGCCATGATGATGTCAGGTGGGTTCTCTGGTGGCAAGGCAAGCCAAGTCAAGGGGGATCCGAAATTCTTGGTATACGTGGCCAACGTTGACTGGAAGGCCCCCCAGCTTGAACTGGTGCTTCCTAGATTTGCTAAGCTTGGGCGAAGATAAGAATTGAGTGCAGAATCTCCAAGGCTACGTGGCAGGAGCTGAAAGACCATATGAAGCAAGCAGGCACTGTTGAATTTTGCTCCATCCTCACGGAAGATGGCACCGACTGGGGGAGGTGGGTCTCCATGCGGTCTTTACCAGTCTTTACCTACTTGCGGTGGCGAAGCGTCGCTAGTGCAGGTCGAAGGGCATGGCTTGCGTACGATACGCGACGGAACAAGATGTAGCCAATGCGATAGCGCCCCTTTGCGCCAAATAGTAGAGCTTCGAGGGGATCTCAAACACATCCAGCAGAGTGAGCCAAGGACCCTAAACCAATCCGACTTCAAAGGTCGACCTATAAAGGTGGACCATTGGACGCCTGCTGGCCGAAAGTTGGCAGCCATCGGCAGTAGAACGTCATACATCTGAACTAAGGAGCAAGACAGCGAGCGCCTGAGCCTGCCGGGCCTTAGCGTGCAAGATGCTTCCGAAGACATTCGAAACAACATTTGTACGAGTAAGAACCAACAGCTGCTCAGGCTTTCTCACAACCATTTAAGTCATTATCCTTGAGGTGTCATTCAGGAGGGATTGTAGTATTATGACTTTTCCCAACACCACGCACCCACCGTGCCCACACGGGACCAGTCCTTGCTGAAGCATCGGCAGCGGATGATTGTGAAGGTTCCAACCATTATGAGCAAGCGCCTGGACGGAACTGTCTAAGGTTGCCATCGAGTGTCAAAACAACAGGCAGCCTTGTGGAAAACATGGTTAATGCGACAGTTGACTTGCTGGGATAATTCTGTCGTGATGTGCTTACCGGCTGGAGATTAGCACATTCGTGAGCTTGAAGTCCATCATAATGCGCTTGGTCGACGGCAAGTACTGGTAGCACGAAGCCTATGAGTAGGAGTTTGCTTCTTTTAGGCAGGTTGGTTGCAGCACACGGGTCGAGCGTACTTGAGCCTATAGGGTTTCGGTCCCGGCATGCCCACGACTCGGCCGGTTTGGGACAAGGCCCTTTCCAGCTTCATTCTTGTTTTCGATGATGATTGGACTGTGCGGGTGCCCGGCTCAGCCGGCTCTGAAAGTCCGCTCGCCCTGGTCCCGGCGGAGTATGTGGGTGATGAGTTCATGATACGGGTCATGGAGTTCCCAGGAGAGGGAAACTCGATTTCAGTGGGTGGACTCTTCTTCACCGGGAAAGAGGCACCATGCCAGGCAGGTGATCTGGGATTTCTACCCCAGTCTTTCGGAATCCGCAGTCAGAGTCCTGCGAGTGCACAGGCAGGCACGAAAGGAAGTCGGCGCGAGGCTGCTGGACTGAGGCAAGGTGACTGCATTATTGTCAAGTGGACTGGCACCGGCAGCGCTGAAATTTTTGTGAATTCTGCGCGCATTTGGCATGGAAGTCTCCTAGCCCCTGCCCGAGCCCGGCGGTTCTTCGGCGCATCCGTCGCGGACAATGCAGCCTTGCGTATCGAGGCAACGCAAAAGCATTGCCGAACCCCCGTTTGCTACGCGGAGCACCTGCTGCAAACGCCTTTATTCTCAGACGTGCAGGTGGTTTGCTCCGACGGGTGCGTGCTTCACTCCCACAAAGCCTTGCTGGCAGCCAGTTCGGCTGTTTTTTGCCGAATGTTTGAGTCTGGCATGCTGGAGTCCAAGGAGTCCCGTGTCAGCATTCCAGCACCGAGGGAAGTAGTGTCGGGCTTCTTGCAGCACATCTACACCGGAGTTTTCGACCCCAATGTTGATGCTGCAGCATTGATTGAATTGGCGCATATGTACGACTTGCAAGATTTGGCGCAGTTCTGCGGGGAAGTTCTGGTCGACAATCTGGCCCCTGCCAATGTCAGCCAATGTGCGCGCAAGATTGGGCGCCTGCGTGGAAATGGAAATGGCCAGGACTTTGTCGGTTACAGTGGAAGCCCTGGCGGCTCTGTCGAGTCACAGTCTGAAGATGTGTTCGAGCAAATCTGGCGACGGTTGAGCGACCGCATCGAGCGTGACCCGGGGTTGGTGAGGGCGCTCCTGGAGGGGCATGTGCATGAGAGAGACCAAAGTCAAGTCTAGCTCAGTTTCACGGTGTCTGTCCGTGGCCCTCAGATCTCAGTGACAGGCGGTCAGAACAGGGATGCATTTCATCGGGTTTTTCCGCTAGGGCAGCTCGACAACCATGTGCCTTACATGTGGTTTCGATGGCACTCAGAGTAGATTGCTCCATGTATCGCTTTTCTTCGTGCCTGCTTTGCAGAGGTCCGCTGCAGCTCGTTCCTTTTCTTAGGCAGGGCTGGCTGTAGATCGTCCGCCGGTCCGCCCCCCCGTGGAGCGCGTGTTGACGCATGCTCAGTCCCAACTCATGATCTAAGCGCTTAGAGGCTTAGAGCTGTCTTGCTGTCGCGCTTGTGACCTGAGGCCCGGCATGATGAAGGCAGCTCGAGAGCGATTGGGGCTCTCTCTGTCCGTCTCTACAGCGGCACCTTGCCCAGCATGTCGCAGCTCCTGCAAGTTCTTAGTTTCCTCTTCACGCTTGCGGATGCCTGTGGTGGCCAAGGACCAAACACCGGGCGCCAAAGTACAGCACCAGTGTAAGATTCAGGCTCGAAATGCCTCATGCGTAGCACACCTGCGTATATGACGGTGTGACGTCACAGCAAGATTTTCCAAGTCGCCGACGCCCCTGAACTGCGTGGTGTGGTCATCCAAGCTGCAGACGGTAGACGACATGATTCTTCAATGCTGCAGAAATCCTGGAATCATGCAACTTGTGGCAGAGTTTCGGCCGCCCGTGCAGGCCACGTCTGAGGGAGAAGTCGCCCGCCGTAACCTGGCTGGATTAAGGGGAGACTGACAAGCTTTGGAAGTTTTCTTCATTCCAACTTGTTGCGAGCTTGTCTGCTCAGGATACAAACTTGGTGGAATGGTGCCTGGTTTTAATTTTGCGCGGTGAACTAGTAAGACTTAGTAAGATTCTGCAGCCGCACCGCTTCAGGTCATGGAGTCCACAAATCGCGGGATGGAGGTTCTTTGGGCAACGCGGCTAGCGGATGGAAAAGAGTGTGTGGTAAAGACGAGGCAGAAGGCCACAGCCGTGGAATGCGCCCATGGTTTTAGTGCATGATGGGTGCAAGCTTGTCGATGCCATGCGGTACGTTGCGAGCTCGTTTGTTCGTTCTTGATGCCTGGCAGGGTATTTCCTTCAAAAGCGCAGCAGAAGAAAGAAATTGGCGAAGCACCACCGAGGTTCAAATGAGCATGCCGCGGCTTGGCATTTACGCAGGACTTAAATTGTTGCCAAGTGCATGACAAGGTTTTGTGCGCACTGTGGTTTACATGCTGGCCTAGCCAAGGAGAATCGATAAGTTGTGTCAGATCTATGAGGCTACAATGTCGGGGCTGCAAGCTCAAACAACTCGTGGCATGCATTCGTACAGGTCCTCGAAACTCCGGAGAGATATTGCGTCTTCATGGAGAAAGTGGAAGGCCTGGATCTCGACTGCTGTGCGCCTCGGGTTTTTTTGAGAGCCTAACCGGTGAGCGAACAATGTTGATCGCTATCACAAAAGTGTTTAAGCTTTTGAATTCGGCTTTCGGTCGCATGATGCACATTTAGGGCTTCATCTCATCTATCCGATATATGGCACGTTGAGATAAGTAATGAATGAGCCGACTTTCCTGCTCCCTGTCTTCGTCTTTTTTGGCCTCCTGTCCTACTTTTCTCCTCCTCTCGTGCTTGCCGCTCCTTCTTATACCAGCACTGCAAACTTTTTTCAGGAAGGACTTGCAAAACATCAAGTAAACATTCCATTTTTTTGAAGGAGCGTACAACCGCAAACCCAGAACCTTCTCGGAATAATTGTTATCCACATCTACAAAATCGTCTCAGTTTAGTGTTTGCTTGTCCGCCAGGAAAGGACCTCTTCGAGCAAATGGAGGAAGCAGAGCTGAGCCATGTCGATGCGCGGGAAGTAGTATTCCGGCTTATGATAGGTCGTGCTAGGTGGGACTGGGGTCAGCAGGGCCATTTCTTTGTTGCGTCCTGCTTCGAATGGCATCCCAGGTGCGACAGACACTGGAAGCTTTGAAGCTGATGCGTCTCGTCACGCAGTCGCTGGTTGGAGAGCGATACGCCTGCACGTTTGTTTGTTTGCCAAGGCATGCCAGTGGACGCATTCACAAAGACCTCAAGGCAGAAAACGTTATGGTGGATCTGCCAAGCCCGGGCTCAGAGAATCTCAGCCCCAGAAGCAAACAAGCCAGTTGGCATCCCTAGTCCGAAGAGTTTCAGAATTTCAGCTGTGTGGCGCTCCTTTTGGACATTCCTCCCAAGGAAAGCAAAGGCCAACCAACTCAATCGGTTGAAAGACGGTGGAGATGCCCAGAGCCCGGCAAGTGTGAAGCTTATCGATTTCGACACGGCAGCTCGGCCTCTTGATGCCCTACGATCTGCACACATCACATTGGAGGTGGGAGTCGCTGTCGCTGCAGCTCAGGTGGAGAACTGGGAACCCCACAGCCCCAAAGCAAAAGATGTTCTTGGCACAGATGGCTACATTGCACCAGAAGCATACTTGGGTGCCTCGGATTTGGCAAAGAGACTGCATTGCTCCCGCCGCGTTTCATGCAAACCTGACTTTCACAGTCCTGGCCGGGTGCCAGGCACGTACTCGCCAGCTTCAGACATTTATTCGCTGGGTGTGGCTCCGTCCCTGGAACTGCCTCTACACCCACGCCACGCAGCCGACATGAGTCGCGGTAAGTCGCTAAGCCGCTAAGGTGATGTACAAGCTGCTTACCGGAAGATTCCCGAGCCGGGCCCGGCTCTCACTCTCTGTCTCCCTCTTCTCTCTCTCTCTCCCTCTCCTCTCTCTCTCTCTCTTTCTTATGTTTTTTGTATCTCTCTCTCTCTCTCCAATCTTTCCCTTCTCCTGCTCTGCTGGAGGAAGACATGTTCGACGACCAACCGGGCGAGAACTGGGTCGGCAGCCCTGCCATGAAGAGGTGAGGATTGAAGTAAATCGGAAGTTCGACGGAATGGAGCTGTGGCATTCACCTTGTTCGCCAGGATTCATGAACGATTGAAGAAAGCGAAGCACCCTGACGCATTGGGCAGCTTCGTACTAGCACCAACTTGGTTTAGTAAGTGCCTGTTCTTCGACAACTCAGGATCGACTTTTCGCGACCGCCCTTTGATCGGTGTCCGGAAGCGGTTGCTTGGTCCAATTGCAAGCGTGCAGATGCCAGCAGGTATTAGCTGGAAAAGCTTGTGCTTGTGCTGCCAAGGCTGATCTCTGTGCGAGGATGTTGGCCTTCGAGGTGACAGACCGGCCATCAGCAGAAGCAGCTCTAAAGCATGCGGCTTGTCTGCACTTAACCTAGTGGACTTAGCCCATGTGGGTGTGCACACATTTTTTATTGCAACACTGTGGTCTCGAGCCCAGGCGTATTTCATGCTTGAGGGTGGGAAGCTGGCTAGAAGAAGGTGATTCTGGCCGCGCGCCCAGGCAGATCTACCAACAATGCAGCTTCTTGGTTCCGTGTGACCCCCTATGTGGCCGCACGCAGACTCTGCAGACTCTGGCTCAGGCATGACATGTGGGGTGAGTCTCCCCGGAAAGTGGTGCCTGGTGCCTTTTCCCACTTTCCCCACTCCACATACCCTTTACGTCATGCCAAGCCGCAGATGGCTGGAGGGACAACTTTGATGCGAGTTGTTTATTTGTTCACAGACCAAGACTCGTGATGAAGCAGCCATATACGACTACTTGGCAAGGAGGTTTTAGTGGCATTTCCAAAGGAAATGCCACGCGGGCCGAGCATTGTAATCAATAGCGGCTCGCTATTGACAGAACTGGCAGCCTCGCACAGAACAGACCCTTGCAGAGCAACCGCATGAGTATCGAACATCTCTCAGATGCCGCGCAACTTCATGTTAGTCCTAGTTTCATGTTTCCTTGCGAGGGGCCTGCTCTGTTCAGAGTACATATCAGTTTGAAGCCCGAGGGCTGCGGGGTTTGATAGATGCAAGAGACTGCGGTGATCCTCTCAGATTTCGCAGGCCTTGGTTGCCAGAGAGCGAGGCGAGGAAAGTGAAAACAGGAACACAGGCCGATGCACATGCAGACGTCTGCGAATGCAAGTGCATTGGACAGCAAGACAGGTGGTTGGGCCTGGGTCTTCGTCGCCTGCACTTTTCAACAAGATCAGTGTTGAGAGCTTGTGGTATCAGACTCGCACCGTCCCCGTTGCCTTTCGCCAATGCCAGTGCTTCATCTAACCTAACCGTGTGGGACAGTCCATGCGATACGAAGAATCCATGCTTCTGTGCAGTACAAAGGTGCAAACGTGCATTTTGCGAGTACATGTGCTGACTTCCGCATGCAAAGTGCCCCAGCTTGCAGAGGCACGGAGGCCTCCTTATGGGCTCGTCGTAGACTTGGCCGTGTTGTGGCGCGGGCTGAAGAGCCGAGGCTTGGACGGGCTAGTGGCGCAGCACCTCAGACGGGCTTTGTGTAGCAATTCGCAAGAGTTCCAGTGGCACCGGGTTGATTCTTTTTTCGAGCAATCGGGTCTGATACAATTTCCAGCGGAACGAAGCGCAGATGGCGTCTTTGGCTATTAGCAAGGCTTTCTCAGTGTGTGATCAGTGTTTTGCCCGCATGGTTGGGAATGATCTCTTGGAGAAGTTGCACTCTCAGCTTTTGGGATCCAAATGACTGACGGATCACGCTGCCAATGCACAGTTGCCTCAAAATGTGGAGATACATCCCGACGCCACACATGTTATACACGCAGGTGGGGCGGTGCCTAATGCTGTCACACTGTTGAATGAGATGCTATGACCTTCAAGCAGCTGGGTCATGGTGGCAGCGCTGCTGGCCGCCTTTGCTGCTTTCGCGCTTCTCTTTACCCTCGGAGTCGCAAGACCGCAAGACTCGGCACACTGGGCTTCCTGGGCTTCTGCAATTCCCTCGTGGCACCAGTCCCCCACGAGATCGCCTCTGCTAAGGTTTGTTGGCTTTGGCCGGATTATGTGGATGGCAGTGTCTTAGTGTGCAGCAGGACATGCAAGCAGTTCTGAGTGCTCGAGGGTTGTCGCCGTTTTGCGTGTCTGCAAGGTGATCCACCAAAAGTTCGGCGCATACTGATTGTAGTGGTGTTGGTGCAACTCGGCTCTCATTCTTCAGGTTTTGAATCAGGTGCAGTCAGGCTCCGTCATAATAAATTGGGTGACAAAGGAGGGTCGACAGGGGACGGAGGTCAGGTGGCCTCTCGGCTCCCAAAGCCTAAGAAGTGATCGACAGGGAGCTCAATGTTCGCCGGCCCCCCCAAAAAAAATCTCGAAGAAATTCTTGCACCACTCTAGACACAATCGCGTCAGGTTGATTTGAGAAGACTTCTGTATACGGCACCGCAACGTGCCTTTTGAACACAAGGCAGGGAAGACAGCGCTGGGAACGCAGGGCAATTGTACAGCCCAGCACTGCCAGAATTGAAAACCGACGAAACGCTTCAGGCGATGCCTGCAAGTCTAAATACAGCCTGCAAAACGTGAGCACAGTTCAGCCGCAAGCACGAGCGGAAAGTTGAAACCGCGCCATGGTTGTCGATTTCGGAAACAATGTTGGATGGGCTTCATGCAGACTTATCATATCGCTTAATTGCTCTTGCATAGCGTGTCAGGGTAACATTTACATGTGTGCTGGAGCTGCCCGAACCCATAGCTTCAAAGAGCTGCATGCCCGAAAGTCTGGGAAGCAGCATCCCACCCCAGGCTGACATTGGAGGAGACGTTGCTCTGCCTCAGTGGTGCCATTTCCTTTCGCAGCCTCGTTGCTGCTGGGCTTGATTGGTTTAGGCCGCATGCATCTTTGAATCGAGATCACTGGAGACCTCAGGTAATTTTCATCTGCAACATCTGGGGACACTTGGATGCCTCCCTTCGCTATCCAATTGTTCACGACCTTGACAGCTGCTTGGAGGTGCTTGGTGTCGTGACTTTGTCGCTATTCATGACAACTTAGCAGGTGTTGGTTACCGAGGCTTCTTCGCCTTGAAGCAGCTCTTTTTGGTACTCCTGAAAACGGCAGGCGCGTTGATACTGAATCCAGATATTTTGAAGTTGATGGGGCCCTGGCTGCTATAAAAGTTATATACGTGAGGATACCTCTTGGGCTTCCGGGACATCACCAAGAATCTTGGTTGGGTGGTGCTCGCTCTGCTCGTAAATGCAGGGGCCTTGCAATGTACTTGCCGCGAGCTGCATCTAAGCTGTTCGCGTACTGCTGCTTGCTCATGTTGAATAGCACGAGCGCCAAGAGATGCTGAGGTTTGCACGGTCCCGATTGTCTGGCTGACAGCCTTGCCAATTGGGGATGTGGGTAGTTACCATCAGAAGCATGATGTGCCCTTGCCCCAGCTGTCACTGTAAACCGGAACAGAGTTTCGAAAGTTTACTCCCTGCGAGTCGTACGACTACAAGGCATGTGCAGATTGCCTCGTTCCAAGGCTAGATCAAGACTTGGCCGTGCGTTTCTGGTTTCCAAGCCGCACATTGAAATAAGTCACCGTGTGCAAAGTTCTCCGTGAACAAAACGCATGACATGGCGGAGGTGTACAGTGACCAGCAGCACGGAGCGGGCGGCGGCCGTGGCACGATGGAAGGCCAGGGAGAGTGGAAGACGGGCCTCTGCCTGTGTTCTGATTATGGACTCAGACAAGGCAATGGCTCGAAGGGCCCTGGCGGACGTGGCGAGAGCGGCATGGGCCCTGCACGGATCAGAGTTTGGCCTTTAGTAGCAGTTGTGCTTCAGAGGTGCCCCTGTTGAAGCCCGCTGCCTTGCGCATAGCCCTGGGCTGAGTCTGTCGGCGTTTCCAGAAAGCCTTGGCTCGTCTGTTCGGGTTTCGAGGACCCCGCATTGGTGAGACTTCTCAAGGCACGGAACGCGGAATGCTACGCAAGCGTCACCGAAGACACGAACCCTTCGCGATTGACTGACCTTCCAGGCGAATTCTGTATGATGAACCAGCCCAATGCCTTGAGTAGACCTGGCTGACCAGACGTGTACAGGCCATGATGTCTCAAAGTGCAGCAGCGACCCCCCAGCAACGTGCCTGTCAGAGCAGGATTTTGCTGTGGCATGTTCAGCTGGTCAAAAAATACTGTTGCGAGCACTGGATGCAGACTGTAAGTCTTCGTCAGCTGGGCCCATGGAGTTAGTCGCCCGGTGGACAATCGGGGCCCTCCAGCCGACAGGCTTTACGCATTTGTGGTCTGCCATGGAAACGGTGTGTAAGATGAGGTGATTTGCCACACTGCTTCTGAATTGAGTTCGAAGAGCGTTGCCGCAACAGTGTAGGACAAGTCACGCTGCTGCCGCTGTCTCTCAAATGCCTCTCAGAACGGGGAGTGGACGTTGCTGGCAGGGGAAGGCCAGAAGCTTCGCAGCAGGATATCGCTTCGGTTTCCGTGAGCAGCTGCCTTCTGGCTGTATCTGTGCAGATCAGATCTCGCAATCGATTGCCACCGTCGGTATGCCGAAGCAGCCGCCCAGCTGATTTGCTGCTTTTCGGGTCAGCAGAGCCGAGCGGAGTGGCTTTCGAAGGTATGTTGAGCTTTGCTCACATGATTCAGCCGAGCCCAGGATTACCGAGATTCGGCAGTTTCTGCAAATTGCCCGTCGCAAGGAGCGCAGGTAGAAATGTGCTTCTTTATGCGCGGGTACGTGCAGGCTGTTGCAGGCATGAGGATGCACTGGTCACTGGGTGGTTCCTCTGCGAGCTTGATTCTCTGGTTTCTGGGCTGATATGTTTTCACCAAGAGAGGATGATAAGGCTTCAAGGTTAACGTTTAATTCGATGGTGCACGAACACGCAAATCATCCCCGGGAACTCGCAAGGAATCGGAATTGCCGTGGCAAGCCCAACGCTTTACTCAGTCTTTCAAGCCAAGACGGCGGATTTCACGCTTCGCAGAAATAGCCGGTTTAATTCATTGCCGGTGTACGGCTCGACAACTGGATGCGTCCCAGGCTTTCATGAGTAAGTTTCGTGGGTTCGTTTCAAAGGTTGCGGAAGCTTCGACCCGCTCGAAAAAGTTAGTCGCAATGCTCTCCATCGTTACTGAGCCCATCACCAGGTACAGCGCACGAGCGTTTTTGTCAAATCCTGCCATGATCGAGCCAGCCTTTCATGTAAGTTCATAGCATCTGGCATGAGGTGCCTTGATTGTTGTTGCTGTTTCCCAAACTGACGACCAAGCTGCAACGCTCAAGATGGAATCGTTCAGCCGAGCCCAGCCAACACAAACAGGGTAACGTTCAAAGCCAGGCCCTGTGAAAAAACGGGGGTGTGTCTGCATTCAGAAAGCTGGAAGCAACAAGGGGCTTCCACTGAAGCTCCTTCGGAAGCCATGTGTAACAGGACGCACGCTCGGTGAAGATCAAGAAGAATGGAACCCAGACGAAGTTCAAGATCCGATGCAGTACCCAAGCTGCAACTTTTTACGAATTATTTTGTTGCGGCTCTGATGTCGCGCCTTCGCGCCTTATGTGTAAGAGGGCAAGGTTGCTCCCTCCGTTTTCTGTATTGTCACAGGCAGGTACCTTTACACCTTGATCATGACTGACAAGACGAAGGCGGAGAAGCTGAAGTGGCCCAGCCGCATCTTCAGCTTTCGGTAGGAAGCATTTTCTTAGAATGAGCCGCTGGCCAAGGCAGTCGTTGCCTCCATCCCTGCAGAAGAAGGAGATTTGAGTCCACCAGACGGAGACTCTCAGCAACGAGCGGGCAAAAATGGCTTTTGCTTTCTACACGAATGTGGGACACCTCTGCAGGCTGTGCTCTGAGATGATAGCTTAACTGTTTCCAGCCATGACGCAGGCGCGAAGCGGTACAACAACAAGAACAACCAGACGAGGCTGGAACAGTGCGCAGCTTGGACATGACTTATCGTTTAGGTCAGGATCGACAGCAAAGCAAAGAGGTCTGTGCTTCTGCCGATCCAGGAGGATGTCTCGCCCTGAAGAGCTTCTCCGTGTGTGTCGGTCCGAGCCACTCCGTGGGCCTTAGGAGAGGGGCTTCGTTGAGTGCTGCCATGGCTCTCCGACACACCGTGGGTGGCACATGACTCAAGCGTTCGTGGTTTATTTGCACTCCAATGTTGGGCTCTGCCTCAGTGACGGCTTGGCGCATGCGGGTCACTTTAGCAGTGGCCCTGCAACTGTTCGTGGGGGCACTTGATCCTCTTGATGCAGAGCCCCCGCCTGTTGAGATGCCCCAGCGTGAGTCAAACAAGGAGTCGGGCGACATCGTTGCACTTCGTCTTTTCAGTCCTGTGCGGTCTACAACACAGGAAGCTATCAAAGCCGAGGTTATTGCCGCCGAGGCAGCATTGGAGATGCGGGCTGAAGTTGATGGTCTGCCGGTAGTCTATGATTCCCCGGCCGTGTCAATCTCTCTCCGAAGAGTTAGCCCAGATGCTTTAATGCAAAACGGGGCAGAAGTTGAAGCTCCTGATGGTGCCTCTGTTAAGATACCGGCAGATCCCCGAATCAGGGGCCGACACGGTGGTCCGGTCACAGTGACGGTGACCAGCTACCATGCTGGCGACGCTGTCAAGGAGATGCCGAAGGTAAAGTATGGAGCACAGCAGCAGATGCGAGCTGATCCAGATCTCAACACTGAACACAATTCAAGCCCTGAAGAACAGGCGAACGCGTCAAACCAGACCCAAAATGGGACCAAAAATGATCGTGTCGATTTCTTTATGACGAAGACCAGCGTTAGCTGGCGAGGCACCGTCGATGTGAAAGTGCCTGGCTTATCAGCTCAGGTTCCTGCACACGATCGCCCTTGGACTCCTTATGGCGAGAGCGTACTTTATCCTGAAGAGAAAGCAGGAGTTCGGGAAGAATTGGAGCGCCTGGCAGCGTTGCAAGACAATGATGCAAGGCTGCGCGGATGCCGTAAGCTGGCAAGACAGTGGCATCCAGACAAGCATCCACCTGAAGACCGTGAGAAGGCCACCGAAATCTTTGAGTACATGCAGGAACTGCGTTTGGCCTTGGGCTTGTCGGTGAGGGGCCATGGAGAAGACTCTCAGTCGTAGTGATGCAATCGTGGCGGACCCAAGCGGGAGCTCACCCCGGAAGATGCCTACCGTGTTTGGTGGATTTCGGTGGTGTCTGTGGCGACAGGGATGGAAGCCCTGTCAGCAGAAGCTCAAGGTGCACCCTTGTCGCGGCCGCGTGGCCGCGTAGTTGCTTGAGTGGTTGCTACGAAGGCGGCTCAAAGCACGGCGGATAAGCAAAAAGTGAGGGCTCGCCGCTCGCAATTTTATGTCCTGGCAGCTCCAAGCAGCCCAAGCAGGTAGAACGAATGTAGCGTTGTGACGAATCAATCAGTGCCAGGTTGAACCTGGGAGGAGCTTTGGCGGACAGGCTGGAGAGTGATCGAAGCAAAGTATTTGGTTTCTCGAGATTCCGATATGACCATTGCTGTTAGACTCCTGCAGCAATCTGGTGGGGGGGGGCGCGAAGGACTGGAGGCAGCCGCGACAGAGCGCCATTCCATAACGATGGTCATCGCAAGGAAGAGTGAACATAGGCCTCAATCACAATTACAACCTTGGTCAGCATCTACCACAACCCTGGAATTAGCTAGGACCTATCTGGCCATGTATCAAAATCATCGCCTAAGAATCCCTTGAAGGAAATGCACACCACCTAAGATTTTTAAGAGGCATGTCCCTAAAGTCTAACTTATTTTGAGCCATAGCCCTTTGGCGTGCCTTCATGACCCATGATTTTCGTTCTAGGAAAGGTGCTTATCATGTTCCCTCAGGGTCCAAATCCTCAACTTAATGAGTAACTATTCAAAACCATAGTATTTACTCCCTATATACAAAAGCCAGAGTCAGTCCGTAATGTGTTGGTACTTCGGGTTCTTAAAATTGAAACCCTAAACACCTCATAGGTACTTTCGACCCCCAGGGTTAGGGCTTGTTTCGAGACCTTTTATTTACCTTATACCCTAAACCCTAATTCCTAACTCCTAACCCTAAACTCTAAACCCTAATTCCCAGACCCTCCAACTTTGGGAGCCCCAGCTCTGGCTGCGAACTCCCCCCAAGACTCCAACATTATAAGGTTCCCCAAATCTCCCCGCAAAAGGGCACCCCCAAGGATTCCTTGTGGCTGTAAGTACAGACTCCTTGGGGGTACCCTTTTGGGGGGAGGTTCGGGGAATCTCATAATTCCAAGCCTAGACATCGAAACCTTTCAAAACTATAACTGACAAGGTCTTTGTGCTTAAAACCCATTTGTACTGTGTACTTGGATGCCTAGGGTAAGATGCTTGATTAGCTTAGCTAAGCTTAATTGCGGGGGCAACCTTGGGCGGGGAGTCTTGCGGGGGGGTGGGGGGGGGGGGAGTTTCGGAATCCCTGATTTCTATGCCACGAGGAGCTGCAGCAGTCGCTAGGAATCCATTTCCCATAAGATGCCCAGATCCCTAAGGGTCCAAGGTACTTAAATATGAAATGTTTAGGGTTTCTATATTAGGAATTACAGTTATGACTTGTGTAAATACTCTATATTCGGGTACTTGGACCCTTAGGAGACGTGCAGAAGCCCTGAACCCTGAACCGCAAGCTGTGAGAATCAGTTTTCCATAAACAAGATCTCTTGCATACAGAAGCAGCTGCATGTCTCTGGGTTTTCACCAAATTTAAGCGTGCAGCAGATTTTTTCGGGGAGGAAAAGTTCTTATGGCTGGGTTTGTCGTCATCATCATCGTCGTAGTTGTCGGAGAAAGAAGTAGCAGTAGTAGTCGTCGTCGTTGCTGCTGTAAGCACCATATGATGGAAAAAATGTCACTGGCAGTCCACTGCATCTTCGTCGTCTTCGTCACCATCAGCTTGGGTAGATGATCTGAACATGTCTAGCAATGTTGGGATTCGGCCTCCAGTGATTCACCTCTCCGCCCTTGTGCGCCGCGTTTGGATAAAACAGCGGACTACCTGGGACATGCTGGGTCTTTTCATGCCCAAGGCTTTCAAAGTATCTACAAAACATGAAGTGGGGTATCTATTCCAGGGTTGCAGAATTTGCCATTGTGGGAAAGTGCCCTCTTTGTCAGAAGGTACTTGCTTGGTATACCCTTGGCTTCTATGTTAGGAAATGACGCTACAAGGATGTCTTAGGGACTCCCTTGTTCCCGTCTCGCATTTTGGAACTACTGTGGCAAGGTACAGTCTGACGTCTTCCGCATGGAGGCTACCGGACAGTCCACATACAAAAACTGACACATGTTTGAGGTCGTGACTTAGCGGCTTTTGTTCATCCAGGCAGTGATCGTTTAGATGGTATGCTTCTGCATACTTGGAGTACCCGACTTGCAGAAGTCCTCTCTTGTTACGGCATACGGCCTAGACCTTGCATCCTAAGCCCCATGCAAAGCCGGAATCTTGAGTTGCCTCATTTTGTTTGGCAGCATCCTTGCACTTCAATATTTATGGCCGTGGGTGCAGTTGGCCCCAGTCTGATGCAGCAACAAATGCACGGGTACACCAGAGCAGCAACTCACACTTTCATTTGGAATCCTACCTTTTCTCTCGCTTTCTGAGTTTGGAGTCTAAGGGTTGAAGGTTTTCATGGCGATGTGTTTTGCTTTGGGCTTTCTCAGCTTCCCCGGTGAAGGCAACAACGGGGGGCAAGAGGGTTTGGTTTGGGATTCGGGATGCCTCCCCTGGTGTCATCAAGCTGCAACTCAGATCAACCAACTGAATGCACAGGTGCTACGTGCAGAGAAGGCGAGGCAAACAAAAATGTCATAGGTTCGATGAAGACACATGCAGGAGGACGTGATGGTCGTGAGAGTTGCGTCCAACATGTGTTCAATTGTTCAAGATACTTTTGCAATGATATGTTGCTCATTTTTGATCTATCTTATCAAGTGCCTGTTAAGTTGTGCACTTCATCCACATCTCAGCCAGTTGCAACGGATCAAAAATGTCATGTGGTGTGATTTGCCTGCTTGGATGATCAATCCCACTTCGCCGGTGGTTGCTAAGCTGGAGTTATTTGAAATACCCCTATATTGATGTGACTCGGTAAGCTATTATCCCACTTCCCAAGTTTTTGCAGTGGGAAAACCGGGGAGAATGACATCCAAATAAGGTGTCACAGCACGGCACTGCCAGGAACAAGAACTTCTCTCCATGGAACAATAGTCTCAGATGGGTTTTCCTGACCTGGCCCTGTGGATGACATTTCAAGTGCTAACACATGAAGCTAAGAGTTACGTATTCAAAAATTGGGAGTGTGGTATTATATATATATATATGTGTGCTTGTTTCTGAAGGACCCAACAAAAAGATCGTTGCCGTTGATTTGGGATCATTCTCTTGAGTTATAAATTATCATGGAAGGTGCATTGTTCACACCAGTGTGCAGTATATTTGGGCTCAAGTTTTGTTAAGCTCAAATTTAAATTCTGTGGAACGTTGGGACGCCATGGAAGCAAAGTGCAGCTTCTTGCTTTCGGTATGCGTGCTCGCTACCTGCATTGTAGCAGGGACAAGTAGCCCGAACACCACAGGCTTCCTTGCACAGCCCCATATGGTGAACCACTCGAACACCACTGGCCCCGTCCCACAGAACGTGAGTGATGTCAAGAGCGTGCTTCTGGACCTTGCGAAGAAGAATATCACCTTACAGGACATGCAGGACATTCTGGCAAAGGTTGGCGCTGACTCCAAAACAAAGGACTGGGATACCTGCACGAGTAGGTGCAGGTCTGAGTACAATTCGTGCACCAACGCCGGGATCTTGGGTCTCCGCATTTGTCAAATTTTTTACAGCGGGTGTGTTGCGATCTGTGCGAACGAGTGATGATTTTAGAATTTTGTGGTTGCTGGCTAGAATTTTCCATCTCCTAGTCTGCATGCCAACTAAACCTGTGCGTTTGGAAAGGCAGTGACACAACCCAGCTTCACTGTCGGGTGGTTAGTTTTTGCCAGGTATGCCAACAGAGCATCAAACTTTATTCGCCTCCAGGTCTGAAAAAAATAATCTAAGTAGTTCAATCGAACTATGACGTACTTGCTCCTGTACGCTTGTGGTATACATTGTACATTGGGATATCCCTCATCCACTACGAGGACAGTAGAAGCTCAACCTTTGCTTTAGATCTGGGCAAAGTATAGCACCTCACCCCATAAAGTAGTTTAGTAAGGGAGTGCCCCCACTGGTGCCCTTAAATTCAGGTTGGTGAATTCTTTATACATTAACCAGATACAGGCATTCTTGAAGTGGCAGTCCTGGGGTTTTAAGGCGACGAGCTGCTGAGGAGGGTGCAGCTGCTAGCCAGAAAAGTGAGATCCAAGCATCCAAGGCGAAGTGGAAACGGTAATGAATATTCCAAACAATCAAAACGCTTCATGGAGTTTCAATGTCATAGTACCGAAATATCATCCCCAGATCAAGAGAACACCGCCAACTCAGGGTAGCAAGTGCAGCTCCCCAAGGCCCAACGATTCCAGAGATTCCAAAGTTTTTTACAGGACGGGGGAGGGGGGGGGGTGCTGCTTGCCCAAAGCATAAAGGCGCTAAAGACCTACATACGATATACTTTACAGGTACTTTGGGACCTCTAGACCTCTATGGGGCGGCTGTCAACGACCGGCTACATGTCTGCCTGAATTTTGCTGCACCCGCCTGGCATTTTGGGCTCGATCCGCCTGCAGCTGTTGGTGACGGCAGCAGCAGACAGCGACAGTTGAGGGTTTAGGGTTTGGATGTAGGCTCACATATAATATCTCGCTTCTTAAGACCCCAAATCTCCCGTAAGTATCCTACCTCGACCCTTTGAAAAAGGAACCCTTCTACAGCTGAGCAGAAGAATCTCCGCTTGGCTGGAGCTGCGAACTCCAAGTGCAGGCCACGCTTGGGTTGGGCGGTGGAGAGCTGTCCGCTCAAAGGGTCCATGAGATTACATGGGCCATTCTAGCGGTTGTTGTTGTTGTTGTTGTTGTTGTTGTTGTTGGGAGGACTTTCGATTTGCTTGGAGTTAGGCGGACTTAGCCAGATTTCCTCCTTGCACACTCCTCCTTTGCACGAGAAGCACGGAGCCCTCGCAAGCAATGAGTGCCATGACGTCGCTTGGTTTCGATGACGGTCTTTACGCGTCCGGATGTGGAAGATAACGTTCCAGGTTCCTTCCCAAAAAACCGTCGGCACAGGAGGTCCTTTCCAGCGTGCAGAGTATGCAAGACCACGTCATTTGCTATGTAGCGAATCGCAGGGTACGGTTTTTGAAAGACCTCTTCAAGTCATTGCAGGCGCCGGCTCCACACTGGTAGCACAATAACAACCACCTCAGGATTTCCAAAGCCTCCTGAAAGCATCTGCAATGCTCCCGACTTGAGCCCCACCTCTCCTCAGATTTCTCTACCTAGGGCTGCACCTGTGAGGCCTGGGTTCAGGTATTTTGTTTCAGATCTTTTGGCTCGTTGGCTGTCAAGGACCCCAAGGATGGGAATTTCGTGTCGAAAGCTGTGATACCAGTAGGCGTACTGAGCATGCCCCGTAGGGAATGCTGGGCAAGTCCACCGAATCCTTGCCGGCAAGCTGGCTGCTCATGCCATGCTGTTTTTGGTTTGTTGCACAAGAGGCAATTGTTGGGCCTCGCAGGGTGGCTGTAAGCTCGTTGAATTTAGGTTTAGGGTGCAGGGTCCAAAAGTTGCACAAGGAAGAACAGGTCAGTGTGTGGCGGCACTCGGAACAGGCCAATGCTTCTGGAAAGCAGCGACGAGGAAGATGAGGAGGAGACCGAGGAAATCCAGGCGCACAAGGGTCTGTGAATGCAGTTTGTAGGGTTCAGAGATCCGCTCAGCCGTTGTTTTTAATCCGGGATCTTTCTCGAGCCCCCCGGTGAGAAGAGTGGACAGATCCCTTGTTGTCGTTTTTGTGAAAGCCGCCCCCGTCATTCTACTGGGGCACGGTGCTACACAGGAGTTTCCCAACCCCAAGGGCCAGGAGTTACGACTTCTGGACGCCAATTCCTGCCAAGGTCTCGCCGTGGAACTCTGCTGAGCTGGCCTACCAGTGCGAAGTCCACGAGCATGAAAGCCTTGCTTTCTGCTGCCGCCCGCGTGACTGTAGGATAAATAAAGTGCAGTTCCACGAACAAGTTTTGACGCAAACCCTTGACTTAAGACGGCATCGCTGCCATCGCTTCCTGAACTCGTGGGTCTTGTTGGAATGATGTTGAGCATGCCTGGTGGTGCAACGGAGCAATGTTTGCACCTTTTGTGATGATATGCCGTTTGTAGCCACCCACCATATGGATGTGCTGCAAGATTTGTAGCCAGCCCCACGTCCCATGTCCCAAAAGCGTATGTATGTGTGTGTGTGTGTGTGTGTTTGTTTTGAGTGAGTGTGTGTGTGTGTGTGTTGAGTGTGCAAACGGCAATAGTTCTTTGAATTAAGTTGGAGGTTGTTGGGGCGGGGATTCCAAAATTGCAAGGTCAAGTGGATGCAGCGGGATGTTGTTTCGTGGTCGCATGAGAAGTGTCTGCAACTCCTGCCTCAGTCCTGCTCACATATGGTAGACTCCCATCGCCAGAAATCAGAGTTGCCTTTAGCGACCCGGCATCCAAAAACAAAGGAGAACGGACAAAGCTTATGTTTAGCTGACAACCGAGACACATGGTATGCACAAAACCACGCATATGTGAGCAGTGGCAGTTCATACGAGCAACAGCAGCTTGCACACGAAGCCAGTCGAATGAGCCAGCCAATCCCATGGCGCTTGTTGATTCCAAAAGACTCTGTCCCCACTGTGTGTGGTACGGACAGCAGCCAGCCCTGGCAACATCCAGCTGGCGCAACAGTGCCGCTTTGCGAGCTTGATTAGTTCGAACATGCAGAGACACACAGAAGCTGCCGCGCAGTTTGGCTGAGCACGGCCTCCGTTTTTGCGACTTGGTCGAGGTCTGTGTCGACGGAGCATGAGGCACCGACATCCTTAAGCTCCTTGAATGGGTTCGAGAAGATCTCATGGCAGCGTCCACGCATTGAAGCAGGAGCCAGTGTATTATCCGAAATCTGAGGTGACAAGATCTTGACTATAACAGGAACCAGGGAGCAGAAAGAGCAAGCATTGACTAGCATTGTGGCCGACCTCTTGGAGTTTCAAGGACTTCTGCTTGCAGTTAACTTGTTGCAGCACCTGCTCGTTTGGAGCGTTGAATGGGAAACGCTTGCGGCCTTTCCAGGAGTTCCCGAAGGTTCACCTGATATTTGCGTTCTTGTGATGCCGTCGTGTGCAATCGGTGCGGTGATTGGCACTAAAGGGGCCAAAATCAGAAACTCGGTGCTACTGGAAATGCTTTTCCAACAAGGATCCCGGCTTAGAAGGAGGTCATGGCATGGTCTCGACTCAGACGGCAGTGGCTAAGGTGAAATCATGGCCGAGTCTGGCACAGTCGGTGCCTCAGTTGTGCGGCTTGCTCCCAGCGTTAGATCAGTGCATTTTCAAGAGATCTTTGAAGCAGAAAGTCCTTCGAGGACATTGACGTCGGCAGAGAATGCATCACTGGGATGCCTGACAATCCAGTTGCCTCCTGGACACGATATGCAAACTGACACATGTGCGTCTAAACTTGAATCAACACTCAGGTGTTGAAAGGGCAGCGCTCACAGATTGTCAGAGCAGCCCTTCGATTGCATCCCACGGTAAGTCCACTGTAGCACGATGGTTTACATTCAATTTTCTGCGTGTTCATAGCGAGAGTCGCATGCTGCAAGCTGCCGTTGCGCGGAGGCAGTGCTCGCCAACGATGTGTTGCAGGACTTGGCAGACAAGGGCCGTGTAAATGCTGATGACTTTCGGTACATCCCGGGCCGAACACCGGCGCCGAGGCTTGGCAGTCGCGGAACATTCTCTTCCTGCGCAGCCGCGCGGTTCCTGTTCGACAAAGACTTCGCAGGATTCATAATCGGAAAGGGTGGTGAAAAGATCACGAGAATCCGAGATCAGACTGGGGCGACACTACAATTTCGAGGTTCTGCCGAGGAGGTGGCACTCTTCCTGGGTCCGGATGACCGCATCCTAGACATTCGCGGAACTGCGACGCAGCGCAACCAGGCAGTTGAATTCTGTTTCAAGGAAATGGAGTCCGCCCCGCAGCCTATCCAGGAGACACGTGTCTTCATCCCTCTAGCTGTGCCAGAGGCGCCACTGGAAGAAACAGTGGCGAGAACTGGGGCATCGTGCAGCCTGTCGCAGGACGTGCACATCTGCAGCCCAGAGAGCTCGGAACGCGTCGTCCGGCTCGAGGGTGCGGCGTCCGAGCGGCTCGCCGCAACTCTGGGCCTGCTTGCGAAGGCGGATGAGTATGCAACGGCAAGTGCCGCAAGTGTGCCATCGGCACGTCCCCCTGTGGCTGTGGCACCCCGTACGGACCGTCCCAATGGCATCGCTGCACCTTCAGTGGCATCAGCAACAGTGGCACAAAGCAAGACGGAAGATAGCAGTGAGCAGCGGATAGAGCCAGAAACGGGCAAAGCATATACCTTTGCAGAGTTTCGGGTAGCTTTCGCCACCACGTATTCCGAACAAGACATCTGCGACTATTGGCGAGATGCCTGCACGCCAGTGAAGCGAGAGCGAGGCGAAGCTTCTGGGGGCCCTGGGCACGTGGACCACGTGGAACGCGTGGAGCCGGAGCCGGTGCAAGCGGCAAAGCTCTCAAACCACCAGCCCGAGCTCGAGGGGCCGGGGGAGGGGGAGGGGGAGCATGCCAACCTAGCTTCCAAGGAGGTCAAGGAGCCCGACCTGAGGACCCATCCGGAGCAGAAAGCTTCAACGGACCCAGCACCGCGGCTAGGCCGAAGTTTTTGTAAGAGGTGCAGAGTCCGGCAAGATCAGGGAGCATGACATGATTGTGCTAAGGTCTAGGGATGTTCCGAGCTGCGCTGCTGTCTCCCTTCCGCAATGGCGTGCCTGGCAGAAAATCAGCCTTCCAGCCTTGTTGATGTTACTTGTGACTTGGAAGTTTGTAGGTAGCTTAGGAATGAGGAGGTTTCCAATCAAGGGGTTAGGTTTGCAAGCGCTGGAGCTGTCATTGATGGGCTGGAGATGATATGCAGGCGAGCACCTGGTGGAAACTCCGCGGTCAGAGCTGCATGTCGTCTTGCCAACTGCCCTAGTGAAGGGCCCATTGGTGCAGCAGGGGTTCCTGGCTGAGATAGCTACCCGGCTGGAGGAATGACTGAATTGGATTTGAAAAGGGCGAAAGCATCGCGCCGTCAGACGCTCTTCATCCCTCCTTTGCCAAGGCCGTGGGCTGCCATGTTCAGATCGACGTTTGTGGCGAGATCGCTTCGGGGCAGCTACACGTGATCTTGTATCTTGGGTGCAACCTGAAAACGTCAAGCTGGGACAGAGGCCTTGTCTGAACTGATGTAATCTAGTTGCAAGTCGGCAATGACTGTAGCCTGCTCCCTAAATGGGTGTGGGTCTTCTTGTGCTGAGCTTTCTTCTTGGACTCGCGGTTCCCACGTTTGACAAATGGTTTGCGCGTCTTTATCGTCAGCTGTCCCGGTGCCTGGGCCAGCGGCACAGAGCTCTGTCTTGGCTGAGGTCGGGCACTGCCGCAGCCAACGCCATGGCCGTGGTCGCCCTCCAGATGCGTGCTTGGTTTGCTGGAGGCCTCTAAGCAGGCGCTCACCATCACCACAACCGCCGCGGCAAGTTCACGAGCAGAGCCAGATGTAAAAACTGCGTGGCTGGTGGACATTGTCTCCAAAGTAGCGAAAATTGAAGACTGTTTGAGACATTGGATTGCTGAGCACAGAGTCCTTGCACCTCGGGCTCTTCATACTTGTTATAGTTGAGCAGTTACATGTCTCCCATAAGTTGTATCGGTCCGCATATGGCGACATGCCGAAGAGCAGTTCGCTGGAATATGTCTACGCTTGTCATGGCCGTTGGTCGAGCCCTTGCTTGTTCAGTCTTGCCAGAAACTTAAAGTTGAAAGCAAGCAAAGAGCAGCTCTGGGGGTTGAACTTAACATGGCTGATGTTTGTGCCACGCCGGTGGACCACGCGTCCAGCTGCAAGCAATTCCCCGTTTCCGCACTCGGAGCCGAACCTCTAGAACTTCTTCCTTCATGCCTGCTTCACCTGACCGCTAGTATGAACACCATGACCTCAAGAGAAGTTGTAGCAGCGGGTCATGTTGAAGCACTTCATGACAAGCAGCATGTGCAAGTTGGCAGATGTGACTGTGCGGTCATCTTTGAAGCAGATAGAGCCTGTTGAGACAGAAGTTGCGCAAGGTGTGCAGGTGATCCGACGGTCCCGTCTCCAGATGTAAGGCCCGAAGTGCTGCTGACCAGAGCAGCAGTGATGGGCTCTGAGACTGCAACCGTTGCAGCCCACAAGCTTGATGATGTCATGAAGCGACGAAGGGAGGTCTGCGCAGAGTTCGAGTCCCACCCTGCTGCCACAACAGCCGATGCAACGTGTGAAATCAAGAACGGATACAGCTGGAATCCCGACACTTCCGACCTGACCCAGAAGAGCGCAGAGTTCGAGTCCCACCCTGCTGCCACAACAGCCGATGCAACGTGTGCCATCAAGAACGGATACAGCTGGAATCCCGACACTTCCGACCTGACCCAGAAGAGGCACCCGACCTCCGACACGCAGTTGCAATCGCTGCTTTCCGAAAGGCGTGGGAGATGCCATGTTCTAGAAAGCAGCCCAGCCCCGGTAATTGCAGACGCTCTGTGGAATCGGGCGCCAGCGCCTCTACAGGCATACCAACATTGCAGGACAACTACCACGGAGCATGCAACAGGACTGCGATCGGAAGAACATCAGCAGAGCCTTGACGCGACGCCATCTATGCCTTCTCGAAATTATGGCATGGAAAGGCCTTTAGAACTCAAGTGGTCCAGCTGGTTAGATGTGCTACAGGCCCGTCTCTGCTGTGGAAGCCAGCAACATATAACATGCAGTGTCCTTTTGCCGGGGTATCTCGCCTGAGGTGGCTGGATCTTCGCACGGCCCTGATCAATCTGAGAAGGTGCATCCCCTTGTAGCTGGACGTCGGGGGTCAAAGGGGGCCATGAGAGAATCGCAGGCATCAGCTGCGACGGCGCGCTTGCTGCAGCTCATGTCCTGGCATGATGACACCCTCACCACCAGCCTACGCAGGACACAAGGGCCACCTTTGTGTGGATTTGCTTCAGGAGAAATGTGGCCTTTGCTTTTCTGACGAGCGCCTTGCCACAGGATCCTTGCTGAAGCCTTTGTGAGCAAGCATCTTTCCTTCCTCAGTTTCGAACAAGACCATTTGGATGCAGTCATTGTCATACTTCTGCGCTACCACAGCCCAGCTACTTGTCATGCAAAGTGACAGCCTACGAAAAGTCTGGTGCGTGCCTGTGCGCCTCAACTGAGGCAATGCTGCCCAGACTTGTAGGACCAGTTCCTTCGACAGAGGCGGAAGGGGGTGAGAGTACCATGGGCTTGCTTGATCAAGTGGCTGCCAGCCCGGTGCTCGATTTACTTCTGGGCAGGGCGTGTGCGTCGGGGTTAGATTGCGAAGACGCTTCTGCTGCACTGGCGCTGCTGCACATCTGCGATGAGACGGTGCGAAGTGGAAGCGAGATAATTCTTGTGTTCGTCATCCTCGCAGTCTTGGCTAGTCCTGACTTGTCTTTCTCGGACAGCAAGTCTGAGTCTGCGGTACAGCTCTGGAGTTCCGCAGAAAGCTTCTTGGCTTCGACTCCCCGCTCGATGCTTGGAATTCTGGCGGCTGGGGCGCGGGACCAGGCCCTCCGTCTGCCCGTGGGTTCTGTTGCGGCCGATGAGGTTCTCCATCATGTCTATGAGCGTCCCGACAGCCAGTGGCGACTTGTTGTTGTAGACATCCGAGACTCAAGTTTGGCCAGTCTCCCGGTCTGTTTGCGATTGCCGGCAGCCTCGAATTTTGAAGAGTTTGCAGCGAGCCTCCCAGCCGAGCACGCCCTTCACTGCTGCATCATTGCGGATGATCCGCTAGAGGCCTTGAAGCTGTGCCTCCACATTTCAGGACCCAGTGGGGCCTGTCGACCCCACATATCCCTGGCTGAAGGTGGCTGGCGGGCGGTGGAAGAGCTAGCGCTAGCCCTAGGCCTCGAGCTTTTGCCAGGAGTCAGGGAATGCACTGAGATGGACGAGGCCGGCAATGCTCACGGAATTGCGGGTACAGTAGTTGAAGTTGCCGAACATGTGGCATCGCTGACATCTGTGGCAGCATCAGTAGCTTTTAGAGGTGCTTTCTGGGCCGCAGGTGTCCATGCAACAAAGCATGGGGAGGAAATTTATACCGATGAATTAATGGAAGTGTGACAGTGCAGCTTTTTGTACATAGGTTTGTCAGTGCTCCGCAGAATCAGCGGAACTTCTTGGGGAGATGGCTCCTCTTGTGGTGGTGGGAGCACTTCGTGTGTTTCTGGACACGTGTGCCTTCCGTACTTGCATGTGAAACCATCGCAGGGCTTCCTGGCAGTTCGAAATTTGTCTCGGGCACAGTCGACCTTTGGATTCGCAGTTCTGGTTTGTCTAGTTTGATTTCATGACGCGAGAGGGGTACAGGCATCCTAGATCTTCTGAGACTGTGAAAGCTCGCCATGTCGGGATCCACCTGACGGACCCGCTCTTGGGCCGCAAGTGGACACATTGTCGAGAGGGTCGAGAGTGTCCCAGTTGAATCTGCCGAATTTCTTCGCATGTCCCCTCCATGCCGTCCATGCCCATTGGATTTGCTGCCAGGCACGTTGCATGTTTGGAATTACTGGCTTTAAGAAGGTTTTCGTTTTGATCAAACATATTCTCAGCCCTGTTCCACCAACCTGTTTGGCACTGACGCCTTTCACTGAGCCTGCCACATGCTTGTACGGAGTTGTAGGTTGTAGTTTCTGGTTGCCTCGATGCGCAAATTAAATCTGCAGGAGCACATTGGGGCAACCAGGCTTATCATCAGTGTCGTGCACAGTGGGCCGGGGAACAGACTAGGCAGCTTCGGAGAACATAGGCATTTTGACTCAAAACGAAACCCACTCACCTACAACAGGCGTCAAAGACTTGTTGAGCAAGAAGATGAAAACAACGCCTGACTATATCATAAACATCTCCATGCCTAAGGCTGCAGGAGATACCAACACTACAACAGCTGCTGGTGTTGAACGCCGTGCTTTGTATCCAGATGACGGTACAAACACTCCCTGAAAGCAAGCTAGTCCATCCGACAGCAACCATGGACCATGGTGTATGTTTGTGCACAAACTGCCGCCAACGTCAAAAGTCACATGGGTATCCTTTGAGGCACGCAAATGAAGTAAACCCACTTGCCAACTCGAGCACCACAACTGGCTTACGAAACGTTCAGCTTGTTCGAGTCTGTCTGCACGGCAGTAGGTGGTTTGGGAGGATATGCCAGGCCTGAACACCGCATGTGTATGGGCGTGTTTTTGCTCGTAGGCGTATAGTCTTGTATACCGCACCTCTAAATTTCTAATATTTCTTTATCCTTCATCGATTCCTCATCTCTGGGTCAATTTCTCATAGATCTATTCCATTATTAACTACCAATTTCGATAAATTCTTGGAAATTACAGAAAAAGACTGCTGAGACTTATAATTGGACCGAGCTAGAAAGATTTTAATTAATTGAATATCATCTCTAGAAAGAATTTCATTTGAATTTTTATACTGACTCTAACCTTTAATTTTTTTACATATCTTAATTATTTATTGCTATAGATATTCAAGAATTCGAATTTGATTTCATAGATCATAAAATATTATTAGTAAATTCTTAAATATAATATAATATTATAATAAAAAAATATATTTTTTTTCTTAAAATTTGATTTCTATCTAAATATATTATCATTAGGAAATAATGAATCGATATTTGATTATTGATAAAACATAATTTATTTTAGGATATTTGGTATAATTTTAAATTAAAAAATCTAGTAAGAATTTTATTTTTAATTAATTGTTTTTTATTTTTATTGAATTATATTTTTTCATTAAATTATGAATATTGATATAAGTAGAAGAAATAATAT